AAAATCCTTACTTAGAATGACATTCCTGTTAAAATATTTCATAAACTCATCCAGACTCTCGAGCCCCGCCACCGCCACCTGTCTTAACTGCAACAATGGTGTTAGGCAGTTTCTGAGTGAAGATATCGTCTAATTGGTTTGCATATTGTAGGACCTTATGATCCACCTGGCTGGATGATGCACTAAGGTAGTTGTTCCAGATGCCCTTAAACTACTTTTGGTGCCGAAGTGCAGAGAGTTCCTGGGTGGTGTGCAACGAAGTGTTGAGCATTGCTTCCCTTTCTGCTCCTTCAGCAACGCCTAGAGTCTCTCCCCTTCCTCTTCCAGTCTTTTCTTCTCCTCAAATTATTTTCTTCTCGCGGCCAACAACTTTTGGTTGAGTTCACCCAAATTTCTCCACCCAGTCTAAGTCCTCAACTTGCCGGACTCGGAGTCTCAACTCCGCAACATGGCTTCTTTCCGCCACCTCCTCTCTTTCTGGTTGAACACGTCTTCTCACCAAACCTCCTCGTCCTCCTTCTTTTTCCGCTTCTTCTTCAACTTCCACCTCCTTTAATTCTTATTCTCTCTTCTTTATCTCTTTCTCCATCTTTTACTTCTCCTCCTCCAATTTTTTTTTAACTTCGTCCTCCTCGGCTGAGTCCTTTCTCTTTTTCTCCTCCTTCTCTTTCTTCTTCTCAGCCAGCTTCCGGTCACCGCATGCCCAATGGAATCCTAGGGGGAACAAAAATCGGAGAAGGGAGGAAAGAAGGAAAATCGATGAAAAAGAAGGGAGGAAAGAAGGAAAACCGGTAACCGTTTAGGGCGAGGTAACTGGCGGGCAGTTAAAATCCCGCATAAGGTACCGGGCTATACTACCGATGGGGGTCATGTGCTACTTGGAGCGAAGTGTGTGGTGATTGCCAGAGTCCGTGTGGTGTTGCATGTGGTATTCGTTGAGTGTGGACACTACAGCCTTGCAGGGGGGGGGTGGATATCACAACCGGTACGGTTCCGCTTTTGAACACCGTGCCCTGGCTGTAGTGGTTACGATACTTGGGCTCTTGAGGCCGAGGTCGCCGGTTCAAGTCTGTGCTTGCACGGAGGATGGCTGAGGCCCAGAGGTACTGATCCAATGACACAGGGGGAGTTCGGGCAAGAAACAGAAAGAGCACATCGGTACGCAACTGAGGAACATAGGTTCCACAGAGAGGCAGGTAATTGGCCAAGATGCGCGCGTAAAAGAATGGATGAAAAAACATAAATGGTCACAACAAGACACAAGATGCACGATATCCAGATCCCTTCAAGAACAAAATGGTCGAGAGGGAGGCGACTCGTAGCGATGACATATAAAATGGGATAACACGTTAAAATTGGGAAGATAAAGAGAGAAGGTGTCATTATCATGGTCTCTGCGGACAAGCAAGAATGACACGCACAGACGCAAAAAATGATAAAAAAAAACAAGGAAAAAAAGAGACTGACGGCGATGATGATGATGACGACGATGAAATCTAGATGATGATAATGATGGTGACATCAATGAGATCTCATGATGATGATGATGATGATGATGAGATAATCAACCAGATCTGATGGTGAGAGAACGGAGGGGAAAGGAGGCCGAAGAGGGAGAAGAAAGATCGGACACTAGGTAGTAGCAGTCTCACAGCTGTCATACTTCGCCATTTTGACTCGCTACCAACAATGCTAGTGATAATACCACCAGCAAATGCTGATGTGCAAACCATATCCGCGTTTATGACTTGTGCCCGTTCCCTACTCTCAAGAACATGACTACACCCCAAATACAGAAACTCAAGATCAAGGTTGAGATCCTGATTTCCGTCTGATCACGGCTTGACAGAATCAGCGACTTGCTTTCACCCACCTCTGAGAATGTGTCCCCAGGCATCCCCTCAACCCGCCATCCCTCCCATGACACACCCTAGCCTCCCTCAACCCCCTCATTCCCTGCCATGACCCCTCCCCCCCAGGATGTGAAACGTGCATAATTGCACGTGTCTGCTTGTCTGGGTCTGGCTGGATGTTACATGCTGCGCCTGCACACGAGGGCCATTTTCCAGGCCCTGCGTTCCTCAGGCTGAAAGCCTGAAAACCAGGGCCTACAGGCCCCGTGTCTGTTCAGCTCGAAAGCCTGAAAAACAGGGGCCTACAGACCCTGTGTCGTTTCAGACTAAAAATGGCAGTAGCCTTTTTAGCCTGAAACGATGGGCCATTTCCGGTCTGTCATCATACCGGCCTGCCCTAAAACTCAGGCACTGAACCAGGGTTTTAGGAACAGGCTATTTTTGGCCTGTTCACACGACAGCTGTAGCGCCAGCCCCTGGCTCGGTTGGGCATTGGCAAGAGCAGCCTCCTGGACTGCCCGCCCTGCAACTGCAGGCAGTCGGAGGCAGTCAGGAGGCAGGCCGAGGTAGTACATAGGGACTTCCCATGCACTTCACGGGTAGGCAGGAGGCAGTCAGTAATCTTCAGGAGTCGGCAGCAGCACTCTGGAGGAGCGCTGCAGTAGTAGTAGTAGCGTTAGCCTTAGTCTTCAGCGCTGGGCGCTAGTAGCGTTAGTAGAAGTCTTCAGCGCTGGGCGCCATAGCTAGAGTAGCACTAGAGAGAGAGAGATTGGGCGGAGGCCAGGGATACTTACCTGCAGTGCCGTTGCTCCAGCTTCGTCTTCGAGGTACCTGCAGCACAGCGCCAACTTCACAGGTTAGTACCTGGCTCGTGAGAGAGAGAGAGTTCTTCTTCTTCCTCTTCTCAGTCCACCATCTCCTTCTC